TATACAGGGAGTCAAAAAAATTATTGAATGCGTAAATTTATTTTATTGATTTAATCAGTAACTGCAAAACCGAATGCCTTGCAATCTTAGAAATGTTTTAAAGTTGTCATAAGCATGCTAAATTGTTGATCAAAATATATCTGTTTATTCCCCGCAAAAAACTGATGACGTCATCTCATAATTTTGTCGAATAAAATTTATTAAATCAGTGCACCAATCCAAGTTGATATACGTGTCATTGCAAAAATATTGATGACATCGTCACAAAATTGTGTAAAGGAAAAACTCAACTCGAAAATCCTTCAGGAGCGAGGGAAATTCTGTCGAAACAACTTTCGACCAATTTTTTAAATGGGTCTTTCAGACCCAGTTCGTTCTAAAATGAAAGTGATTTTTACTTGTACACAAAAAGTTTAATCAGGAGTGCTAATTCCTTTTCTAGCAAAAATGTATGAAAAGAAAAAAGCTTGGGATTGACGATGATTCTTAAATCAAAATTTGGCAATTGATTGGAAACATTTGCAAATGCAAATATAAGATCTCTTTTATGTATCATTTTAAATATACAGCCGTATTTGTACCGTTTGAAAATCAAAGCCGTTTAAGTGGAGGAGGAAGTTCATGGCAGTATGAACCAATGTACAACCTACGTTCGAGGAAAAAGTTGAATTTAAATATTTATTTAATACCACCGGTTCAGTTCATGTTTGGTATCCAGATCAACTGCAAAAACACCAGTCTTAATGGTAGAATTTAAGCGATAAAGTGACACCTCGATTTCACCAATAAAAATTACAGAGGAAATTGAAATACGGGTCTCGTGTTATGAACTGAGGTCAAATTTCCCGCGTCGTTCACTTTACTGGTCAATTTGACTCAAAAAGCATTTAAATACTAGACTTATAAAGTAGCCGTCACAATAAGCTGAACGCCTCAAGCGATCAATAACCACAGCTTATAGATTCCATAAATTTGGGCCGAATGCCGCGTACCATTCAGTTAGTACTTAAATAAGAGATATGCTGTGCCCAAACAGTGGAGGGCATAGAAATAATATTATATGGAAGTAACTTAGAGAGAGACGCGCGTTGTCAACACAGTGGGACAGAGATAGGGCTCTCTGGGTGGCAAAACATTGACGCGAAACTGCAGAGCTCTGTGTTTCTGGAGGTTTCTTTCGTGCTGTCGCATTGTGTTTGAAGGTGTATTTTTGCAAATTTACGTTTTATAGGCTCAAGTTACCTTGGTTAAATGTCTACAGTCTTCTTAAGTTGTATTTTATCGGACTATTTGTTAAACATCGTGAAATCGTGTTGTGCGTATAATTGCATAGAACGTGCAAAGAAAGCAATCCTGTTTCATTTCATAGGTAAGAATCACATATACAGACGAAGGATTTCGTAAATAATTTAAAAATTTTGTTAGTTTCCCTAAACATTTCGAGTTACGAAAAAAACGGATTATTGCTACAAAAAAGAGGGAATTTTATATCTATTGATTATTGTTTTAGCTATTTGTACGTGGATTTAGAAAATAAATTTTGCTAGAAAATTCCATACAATTTAATATGTGTAATTTAATTAGGCACCCTGTCACTTTGATCGAAAGTTTAATTACTTTTATCCTAAAAAAATCAGAATTACCAATGAACATACACTACAAGATTAGTTAACTTGTAGAAGATTATTGGACTAACTGAATTCGTAATATATTGTAGATTCTGTATACATTTCATTTTATTAATAGATTATCTCCACCACTTAACATAATTTTTGTGGTTTCACATTACACATAATTTTAATGTAAACTGTAAAAATATAGTTTTCATTAACAGACGTTAATGATTTAGTTGATTGTTTGAACAAATTCGTAAGAAAACGTATTAATTCCCGTTCAAATGAAGCGTTTCTTGCCACCCAGCACGTGATACATGGTCAGCCGTCCTTTGCCCACTGATGCATAACCGCTCTAGCTATTTCTTTCTTATGTTGATTACACTCACTCGCGTATGGAAACGTATACAAGGCTCCATCCACTCCTTTATTAGATCAATGGTGGAGGGTAATAAAAATTACAACCATTCTAATCACTTCAATGAGTGGGAGCACGACCGCGCCCCAGGCAGTATTCGGTATAATTTGGCGGCCACTTTACATAAATTGGCAACTCTAATAAAGCTAAATAAATGGAGAAGATGAAAATGTTTTGAAATCCTGGAAACTTTTACTTTATCGATTTTTGAGTCAGCTTTACACTTTTACAGTATTTGAAAATTACATAGTTTTTTGCATATTCTCATTTTTTTTCACTGAATCAAGTATACTAAAGGTTTCATAAAAGGTGGCAACCCTGGTCATAAATAGCTCTTAGATGGAGCTGTTTTGCCGGCGTTTCTTTAATAAATGAGGGACACTGTCTCCTGTCATCCTATTTCCATGCCTTCGACCAATTTTTTCAGGCAATCATTACAAATCGAATCGTTTTACGCCCCCAATCACGTCCAAGAAGTGTCCCTTTTTTGTACTGAAATGTCAAAATTATTTTTTTGGACGTAGTTGTCAGTTTTTTGCACTGACTTGTCACTTCTTTAATGAGTCCACCGTGTGTCTTGCCATTTTCATCTTTTCTCGACATTTCATGACTTCAAGAGTGCGAAAAAAAGTGGTCTCTCTCTCGTCTGTCTGTCTGTCTGTCTGAGATAAACAAAATTTGGCTAATCACCCCCACCATCAATGGGATCAATAATTAATTTACAATAATATATATTTTTTAATTTCATAAAATAATATACTCGTGCACTTGTCATGTATGAATCCGTATTGAGTTTTCACTCTAGACATCCATAATTTTGGAAAAAAATAAAACTGCATAACAAAATTTTGGAATTTAACTTTGAAACTGCAAAACTGGATGGTCTGCAATCACAAACGTTTTAAGGCTTCCGTAATCTAGGTATATCGTTAACTAAAAATTATTCGTTTATCCCTTCCAAAAAAATTGATAAGTAATAATAATTGCCTAATAAATCCTGTCTGAAATATGCAAAACGTTATAACTCCATACTTGTGGTTTATTAATGGAATCATAGTTTTTAGAATTACTTATACAGAGTGATTAAAAAAATTAATGAATCAGGCAATTTATTTTATTAATTAAATCAATAATGACTCACTCCATTTTCCCGAGATTTTGGGAATATAGTACCGTTATTATGAGTATTGCACTGCATCTTTCCAAACTGATATAGGTATCCTTGCAAAAATGTTGATGACGACTCACTTGAAATAAACGCATAGCACGCTTTCTTAGCTTTACTTTAATATTACATCTGTTTCACCTATTTAGGTAATATGCATACAAAAATTGAAGATATTTTTTATTAATGAAAAATTTGATGTTTATATTGTAATTTTGATATTAGTGTTAATTTTGTTTTCTATTGTATTATATATTTTAGGGTTGTCCTGTAATTAGGGTTACCTGTTGGACGAATAAAAATGGTATTATTATTATTATTATTAATATTATTACATACATATATTTATTTTGACTTATAAGGGTTATCATAAAAAATAAAATTCGCAAAATCAAAATCATTTTTCGAAAAAGCTGCATTTGTTAAACTATATTTCAGGAGCGAAGGAAGTTCTGTCGAAATAACCTTCGACCAATTTTTGTACTGAAATGTCCAAAACTTACTTTTGCATCTTTGGCCTTGTATCTTTCGCCAAAATTTATTTGAACTCTACTTTTACTGAATATCATTATGAAACATGACTTTATGAATTTTTTTCTAAGTAGAAGAGCAAAGTAGCACTTTGATTTTTATTAAATCTGCAGGACTTCATCCAATAACGAAAAACGATTTCTCTAACCTCAAAACCACTTACATAAATAACCTATTATTTTTCTGTATGACTTAAAAAACGTTGTGTGGACCTTGGCCAAAAAGACCGTTTTCGGCCTAATCCGATTTTTAAACTTCAGGTCGCCCAAAAAAGATCTTTATAGCCACTTTTTTAATGTATTGCACATACTTAAAACTAGCTCGTTCTACAACATAATGTACTCACAATAGAGTTTATCAATTCATGTTATGCAGGACCTGTAAGTTCTGAATTCAAGCTTCATTGATAATGTTTAACATTGCTGTAAATTATAAACAAGAATTATTATAGCATAGGATGTTCTACTTCAGCATCGTAACGCAGTTTTTGTTTTAGTTATATTAATTTGTAGTTGCGTATTGCATAGAAGTAAATTCACTATTTTTGAACAACAGTGAAACTAAAAAATTTTAATTTAGACACATCTTAACGACAATTTGTCACGGATTCAATAACTCATCGCTACGTGGTAAGTACAATGAATCCTGTTATGAAACATTTTCGTTGCGGTATACTACACGCCTACAGTTATATTGATGAATGCCTAACATCCTATTATATATATATATATATACGGTCGAAGATATCACAGTGGGTTTACAAAAAAAATTGCAATGTCTATTGAAATGGACTCAGCGCAAGCTACAAGAATTTAAGCAAGAATGATTTAGATTTTCTCAGCAACTTTCACTTGTGGATACGTTAATGTAACATCATTATTGTCTTTGCTCACATGAATGCGCGTGCGTGTCACTTCCGAAAAAATGAGAATGAACGGGATATATTTAAATGATAGTTTGTCTTGCATCGCGGTGATTTCAATGATACTATAAGAAAGTAGGTATTTATAAAAACTGAACAATTAAACGTTCACATTCTGCAGACAATGTATTAACATTATATTTTCATATTCATAACTGCGAATGTTTCTGCAAGTGGTGATAAAAGAAAGTTGCTTTGGATATTGGATATTACGTTCCAACTTGTTTCGTTTTTTGCATAGGTAGCTGTTGCACAAATAAGTTGAATAAACATTCGTTACTTTTTTTAACAACTATTTAGAAAATAGGTATTCAAACTCTTGATATGGAAATAAAAAATATGGATACTTACTGTCTGACACCTCTGGTATTTTGTTTAATTTCTTATTCTATCGCGTAACTTCAATTTATAATCCACTAATAAATAAAACAAGAAATATTTATGCACTTTCACTTAGTTTTCACATTTTAAATTTTCTAGTGGTGCCTTCTTTGTTTTAAAGTACATACATAGTACATATTATTTAAGACATCAAACATATGTCTCTTTCGTTTATACATTCACAACTATTGGCCAAGAACTGACAATTCAAGAAGTTGAATTCCTTTTACCTGAGTAATGCGCAAGCGTATGGATGGGTGAATGTCTTGTAGAAGGTGTGCTGTCCTGTTGCTGAAGGCTTCCGAGTATAAAAGAGTATGAAGGTTTCGTATAATTATTTTACCAAGGGTGCGCGTAACGCGTAGCAGTCGTCGAAGGGATTAAGGATTATATTGTAGTATTTATAGAAAATTGGGTAGGAGGTAGTGTCGAAAATAATTTTCTCCACATTCCATCTTACCCAATGTTAACGCAAGAACGGGCAGGTACTATATGTCGAATGTTATTTCGACAAAATTTCTCTCGCCCCTAAAATGCAATCAAACATATCCAGCTTTTTCGAAAAATTATAAAATTTGAATTTGCGAATTTTATTTTTGTTAACTGAACCCTTAAGTTAAAATAAAGATATGTATGTAATGTTAACGTAAATGTAAAACTACGCGTATGCTTCTAATGAGTTTTTTTTTTACACAAAATTTTCTGACGACGGCATTAACATTTTTGCAAGAACACATTTATATCAATTTGGATAAGTGCAGTGTAATACTAATAATAACAGAATTGTAGTTTCAAATTTTAGGAAAAATGGAATGAGCCGATTTTGATTTAATCAATAAAAAAAAATGACTCATTCATTAATTTTTTGAGTCACCCTGTATAAGCAATTCTAAAAAATATGGACGCAGCGATAAACCACAAGCATAGACTCATCATATTGTGTACATTTTAGATAGGATTTATGCGGCAAAATTTTGAAACGACGGTATCAATTTGGGGACGGATATAGACAAAAAATTTTGATTAAAAATTTACCCCGCTTACAAGATTTCAAAGCATTCGGTTTGGCAGATTCAAAATGAAATTGCACATTACAAATTTAAAACCCATTTACAATATACAATTTTGAGGTAACGTATCACATTGTTAGCGGGGACAATTAAAGACAAAGTTTAGTTATACACATAAAAGGGCAGTATACGATAAGGTTCCAAATTCGGCCCGACATTAATTCATTAATTGGGTAGTATTAATAAAAATAAGTAAAAGCTTATAAGTAAATACTTAAATTGATAAGTTTATACTTATGGAAAAAATATGCAAATCAAGTTGAACAATTCTGGGGTAGAATTGTGGGAGTGAGTAAAAAGCCAATAAAGCTTAATACTGATTTTATTCAAAACAACCTAACTTATTTATACAAAACTAACTATTTACAGCGTGTGAGTGGTTCTAAACTAAAGGTAATAAGACATATGAATTTATATTGCGTCCCAGTTTCTTGTATTTTCTTTTGTTCCATTACCGCTGTCTTCGTAATGCTGACGATGGTGCTCTTGCGGTGGTCAGCGTTTCGTAGTTCTGGTGCTTGCAATTCCATGTTTCAGCGTTCTACATTCGCGTCGTTGGTCTTGACCTTCTTATTGGTGACGTAAAGAGGAAATTTAAATTTTAGAAATTATTGTTTAAATTTAGGATTTAAACAAAGTACGCGCACATCAAGTATCAAATAATTATTGCATTTCGGTGGCTGAAATTACTAAAAGTAGTTATTATTGTGTGATAATTAAAGATATCCTCAAGTAGCGAAGAACTGAGTGATGGAGGTAGTCTTTTTGATACCGCTTCTAATGGGAAACAAAATGCAGATAGTGACCTGACCTATGTTGCAAAATTTGTGCAAAACACCCATTATAAAGAACAAGAAGGAAAATACGTTAAATAAATTGAAAAGCGATTTGGAAAGTAGGGGAAAGTCCCCTCATTCGGACCTAGTGGGACATTTTTTCAATTAAAACCAAAATGTAATACGATATTAACTTATCTAGTGTTGAGCCATTAACTTTGACATGTTTTCAATGTTTGGTAATTTTTTTAGAATTTTTTGAAACATCCAAATTGGTTAAAAAAAATAATTTTTGAAGGTCTGCAAGTGATCAAAAATAGGAGACTGGGTTCGTAAATTGGACCACTATATTCTTGAATTGGAGCACCGGTTCTTAAATTGGACCTTCTTGGTAAAAATGCATGAAATGAACATAATTTTATTTAAAATGTGAAAAAAAATACGTTCATATGTGTTAAAAAAGTCTGGAACATTTTCCCTGTTGAAACCCTTCCCCGAGCCATGGATGTTTTTTCTGGTAATCGAAGTGATAGTTCGGGATGTCTTCTAATGAAATTGTAATACCATTTTTTTCCAGCACGTTGTAGAGTATTGTTAAATCGGTGGTATATTTTGTTTTTCTCCACCAATTGATATGCAAGGTTCATCACATCTCGTCTGGTGATTCCAAAAAAGCAAGGTTCTAACCTAAGGACGTGTTCCACTAAATCAGCTTCTAATTCTGCAGGCAACGTTGTAATCACCCCGGCGCGTTTCGTACTGCCCTTAATGTGTTTGTTACTATCTGACAAACGTCTTTTAAATGTAGCTTTTGGCACATTAAATTGCCGACAACATTCGTTCAACCCTAGTTGATTTTTACGAAAATCAGTTAGTGCGTTATCCATGTCCTCTTCGCTCCATTTATAATACTTCTTTTTTGCTTGTTTTTCCGCATCCATCTAGTATAAAATCATAGTTAATAGATTATAACAAGAAAATTTATTATTGGGCATTGTAATACGAAGTTCTAAAATTACGCGCCTAGATACTGTGACGTGATTGGTCAAATCGGGAGTTCCTTCAATTAGGCCGGTCCAAATAAGGAGAATCTAAGGTGGTCCAATTTACGCGCTGGTACAAAATTTATTATTTTCTTGTGTTAAAACGCTATAACGAAATAAAACATATTTATTTCTAGGTTAGGTTCTTAATTTTATTACGCTTTGATCAATGTAGTCTTTGTGCACTGTATTTATGAAATAATTTAGGCTATATATCCTTACAAAAACATGCGAAAAGTTGTATCACAATGATAGCAAAATTTCTTTGCAATTTAACAAGCAGACACTTACCGCTGCAGAATGGAATTTTGCACAACACTGCTTTGGCGCCAAACACTTTCGAATAATATGCACTAGATGTCGGCAACTATTCTAGATTTAAAAAAAATAGGGTGGTTCAATTCAGGCACTGGTCCAATAAGGGGGACTTTCCCCTACGGTAGGATACAGACTTATTCGAATTTGATTTACATAAAATCGTTTTTAGCAACTTTTGGGAAAAAAACAGAAATGAAGAAATTGTTAAAGCAAATAAATAATTTAAAAGCAGTAGTTAAAAAGAAAACATATATATCGGCCACCGGAAACAAAAAAATCAAATTAAGCAAGGCAGAACATTACATGTTGGACGCAATTAATGGTGGTACGAAAGAAAACTGCGAACCGAATCCCGTTCTTCAAAAAGTGCCTGGAAGAATGGGTGCGTAGGGGTGCGTCCACCAAAAGATACAGAACCTTCAAGTCCCAGGACACATACAGAGGAAATAATTCCTCCACCTCCAAAACCGAAAAGGACAACAATATTAAGCAAATATGAAACGGAGGACACGAAAACACTGACTGCTGCAGAATTACAAAGATTGGTCCTATTGGAACAATTAGAGGTGCTAAGGATGAAGAAAACTAAATTAAATAACGATGCTTCAACCCTAAATAACATTTTTGATGAAGATTTTTAGTAGAGTTCGAAAAATGAGTTATCAATTTAATAATAATAGTAATTTAATTGTTGTATATTTTGTTTGTCGATTAAATATTTTCAAAAATAACATCACTCAATTGATCACTTATTCGTTGACCTTCACGACGTAAAACTTCTACCGCTTGATCATCATCATTATCATCTTTTTCGTCTAGATTATCGTCATCCCCGTTTTCAACGTTTTCTTCTTCCAAAACGGCTTTATCACTCAAATATTTAGCTACGTTGTGCAGAATAAAACAAGCCACAATAAATGATGGAATGATTGGTAGAGATAGCCTTATGGCGTTTTGGAGAGTAGCAAACCCTTGCTTTAATTGACCGAAACATCTCTCTATGATGACCCGCTCACGTTTCAAAAGATTGTTAAAGGCCTCTTCGCTTGGTGTCGTTGGGTTTTTATAAGGTCTCATCAGACATTTTTTGATACCATAACCTTGGTCTCCGAGTAAAACCACATTATTAAAGACGGATACGACTATTATATACCGATCCCGGCCATTCGGCATTAACACTGGTAAAATATTCGTTGTTGTTGCTTGTACATTAATAGCGGGAAATTGTTTTTTTTTGCAGATGTATTCATGACCATGTCGATTTACATGATTTTTCTTAATTTTTATTAACGTGCAGTCTATAGCTCCAATGGCTGTAGGAAACCGATACTTACTCAACCATCGCTGCTTTTGTTCTTGTATAGCTTCGTTGTCCTGCAATTCACAACGATATAATACCTAGTCACTGAATGATAAAAAAAATGTCTGTCCTTCTACCTGAGGAAACCGAATCCAAAGATGCGCTTTATCAACAATCTTCTCTGTAACCCATTTTACCGCACAAGAAACAGTAGGTTGGCTAACACCAATGTCTTCGGCGACTCCAATTTGAAAACCTGGATCCGCAGCATATCGTAAAAAAAATCTTAATTTTTGTAAACGCGTCTAGGCGCGCGCCTCGTGTTTCTTCATCATTTTCAACGCCGAGAAAGTGTTCAGCCATCCACTCAACATTGTTACGCGAAAACCGATATAGACGAATAAAATCCCGTTTAATGGGATTCTCTCTACGAGTTTTATACATTTTTCGAGCACGCACTGCGTTATGAAACATTTAAACGATTTTTTTTCAATCCATGTTTGTCTAATAAGCACGTCACTTAGTATACTTACTTATAAATTTGTAAGAAGATACTGAATTCCCTAAGTACAAACTAGATTTTATTTATACCGATTTGAGTAAGTACTACTTTTGATAAAAAGAATCAGCACATACTTTTTTTTGACAAGTATATACTTTTTAGCATCAGCACTATTCAAAATCTACTTATGTTTTA